CAAATAATATACATTATAGAATATCCAATTATTCAGAATATATCTACATACATATATATATATATATATATATATATACATATATATATATATATACATATACATATACATATATGTAAAATAAAACATAGAGGGTCAAATACTCGATTTACAAACTTTCAAAGAATAGAAATGTAAAATACAATATGTGACACATATTTATCCTCTAAATTTAAGTTTGGCATGGTAAAGTCTTATCAGACATAGGTGTATTCACAATGTTCTTGTGTTAATCTTCAGTTGAATGGTATTTAACTATTGGTTCATATTCCGGTTAACGTTAATGCCCTTTACAAATTATATTACTTTTGATATTCCAAATATCATTATTATTGAATGCAATCTTGCACTCGAAACATATCAAGCATCATCAAAATAATTGATCAAAGGCTAGTCAAGCTCTCTCCTTCTCCCCGTCCTCCGTCCTAGAATAGAGATCTAAACCTTCCTTCTTGTCTGAGAATGCAAGTTTTCATCTTCATGAGTGCCATATCTTTAAACAAGATGTATTTAAAAATCTTTTTTATTACGAAAAATTACTAATGAATAATCTACCATTAAAATCCATCATCTCCATGAGATCTCTCTCTCTCTCTCATGTACCTCCACACCAGATTCATTATTCTTTTGGTTGATGAAAGGAACTGTGAGAGAAGCTGCTCATCGAATAACATCTCTGTACTCATTCACGTATGCATGGGTTTGAAGAATAATTTACTTTATTCTCTTCCTTCTTTTTATGTCTCGGATTTGACGAGTTAATTTTTAAGTTTTCTTCACGGTCAACAATTATGATTCGAGCTAAGATAATAATTTAACGTGGTCAACTTGGTCGAAAGTATAATAATTTAACGTGGTGCCTTTGTCCCTCTCACCTTAACATACGTGTATAGTACGTGGTAGATCGACTACTACATATGTGTGTTCTAAAGTGGATTACGACCAACCATTCTGAGAGTTTGGATTTGGAAGTCTTGACTTTGATCCGTTGACATTTGAATTGACTTCTTTTAATACATCATGAATGGTGATTTGGCTCGATATCGTTGTGAAATAAACATTTCTTATCTTTACGGCCTTCATTCACAGTGATCTTTGCACGAAAGAAAACCAATCAAAACAGTAAAAGTTCACACCATGCCGCATTTTAACATTCAAAAACTAAAAGAATGAAGAAAAAAATGTTGCAGACTTCTCTATACTTCTCTTCCATCCAAATCCAACAATTTCTACCAATATCTTCTTCACCGAGGCGGCTTGCAGAAGCCGCCACGGCTTCCGGGGCTGTGGGTGCAACCTGAGGGCCCCGACGGCGGCACCGTTCCCTGCTGAAGCGACCGCGAGGGGAGCTGGGTGTTCTCCGGCCGCCGGTCTCCACCCAAAGCCCTGGTTGCCATGAGAAGATGCAAGCTCGAGAACACCAGCACAAGAAACAGCAGCACACTGAAGCGCCGAGACATGCCGGTGGAGACGAAAAAGGAACTGAACGCCTTTGTTGGTTTCTTTCTCTCTATCCGGAGATCGGAATGGTTCTGTGCGTTGAACGCTATTTGCATGCAATGGAGGTTGCGGTGGTGAAGTCAGGACTCATAAGTAAGCATCAAAGTATGTCAATTGTGCCATCAGTTGACTTGGACAACGCCGCATCGCACCAACCACGCAGCTTCGTTGTTGTCAGTGTAATACTTTCTGAGGTTCGAAGACACGGTCAGTACTTACGCGTGAGATTAGTGGTAGGGCTTGTAGATCTCAAACTAACGTAAAGGTCCATTTGGTTTTTCCTGTGCATGATAACATGCGTTGAAATGTTTGAAGGATTTATTTGACTTGCGACGCAAGAAACCGCAGGAAGCCTAAGAACGCGAGGGAGATGGGGACGGCCGTAGACCCTGTGGAGGACATGATGGCCGTTGGATCAAGATCGTACGGCCTGTGAAGTGAACACACGTTGTTTCTCGACAACCTTCCGGTGTCATTTGTGAACGCATCCCGTTAGTCAAAAAGGCTTTTTAAGGAAGAATTATTCTTTGCATACTTTTTTTTTAAGCACGACGAGTCACTATCTTCTTTGTTTGGGATTTCCTTTTTTTTCTTTTTTTCTTTTTTTCTTTTTTCCAATTTTCATATGCTAGATTTGTATTTTATATAATAATTATAATTATGTTGGTGTTTTTAAAACAAAGGATCGATAATGATTATTCTTTTCAAAACATGAATGAATGAATTAACGGATGCATAATTGATAAAGATTTAGGTTCACGTGGATTAAGAATAACTCTAAATAAAAAAATCACTCTTCTCAATCTTTGATTATTATCTCTTTCAAAAGATGATTTTGTAAGCATAAAACTAGTATATGCTATATGTAATGCGAACAAATTTTTATATTAAGATCAAAATTAAATAACCTTTTAGTGTCATTTGAAAAAAGATCTCTGTATAATATGTAAGGGCATCGTTGTACCGTCGTAAATTTATAATGAGAACTAGACTCTCTTTCTCATCTCTTCCTATTCTTTCAACCATTTAGATTGATAATTCAAGGAGGTTGAGAGAGAAACTGTAATCTCTCAACTATGTCATCTATGAGATGTGTTATATAATTCCTAGAGATATTGTTTATTTATAGTCGAGAACAGAGGATCTATGATAAGTTATTATGAAAGTTCCTCCTATCAAGGGCATTCCATAATGAATCATACTATAATATGAACTTTTTTTTCTTCTATTGATTAGTATCTGTTATCAAAATCTAATTAAGTTTATTATATATCTTATCAAATTATAAAGGGTAATATAAATTAGCATTCTCCCACTTGGCCCAATAATTGATAAGATATAAAAGATATTCAAAATTAAAATAAATAAAATAAAAATGTATTCAAAAACAATTTTACCTAATTAGATTTTGAAAAAAATTAAAAATCACTTTATACATGACTATGAATTTTAAAAATAAGCTAATAAATCTAATAAACATAATAATACTATATTAAGTTATAGTGATTATATATTCATAATCCCTTCAATGTATCATAATATTATTAATTTTTTCTAATATAGCTCATAATAATTCTTATAATTTATCTTATTAAGATAATCCTGTTATTACATTCAATTATAATATATATAAACATAAATATAAATAAAATAGTAAAAATAAATAACTTTAATTAAGTAAGAAAATATCAATAATAGCATTCATTTAAATATACATCACCATATCTTTTATGACTTACTCACGAGCCCCACATATTCATTGAATATTTTATACTATAAAACTTTGGTAAATGGATTAGTAGTCAGGTGCTCGGGTTCTCAATTGATACTTATTATTTTTGGACTCTTTCTATAACCATCAAATACTAACTTTCTTTTCAATATCTATCATTAAATTATAATTAATTTTATTTATAAAGTACCACCTAATCTAACAGATTTATCGATCCAAAGCCCAAAGGAATCCCTCCCCCCTCCTGCTTTGGGAAGGGATTTCAACTACGTGGAGTCCTCACCCTTTATTCTTGCGTGATGGCTTTCGTTGCTGCTGATAGTTGCATCTATCTATCCAATGAATAGCCGATTAAATTAAACCTTTTACAATCGATCCAAAATAATAAATCAATCGCTCTTCCCCTACTCCTTTGTCCCATTCTCATAGTGTTTCCTTCACATGGCAAGAAGACACATTAGTGTTGATGGTATTTGCCGTAATCATTGGTCATACAATTTTTATGATAACTTTAATTTATAGTTAGCATTAAATATAAAGTATTAAAATGATGATGGTTATATGACAATACAAAAGCCCACAAAAAAAGGGTATCTTGGATTGGTAATGAGATGAAGAAGGACTCTTCTTCCTTGATAAACACGAAGGCTGTCTCCTTCACATAAATGTGCACCATGTCCCTGTTCACTACTGTGATTCCGACTCATCGTCTTCCTGAGTCAAGACTCCGATTTCATCATATTTAAATCTAATTAATATTGGATCGATCACGAACCATATGTGTTGTAAGAAGAAATGCAAATAATTCATGTAGAATCTATCCTTGAAATTTTGACCGACGCTATCCTTAATTTATGTGAAATGTAATTAGGGTTGTATTTAGATATTTAGTAGAGGTTTATATCTTAATTATGTGCAAACTAAACTTGAGAAAGTTTCAAAATCCTATTGGTTCTTAACAAGTAATGTTCATTAATCCTTATTAAAATATTTAGATTGATTAGTATAATGTTATTTAATATAATAATGTGATAGATCTCATATTCGAATAATATCACATACGTTATTTAATATAATTTTTTTTTTAAAAAAAAAAATAGTGTTTTCTTCATTTGGTGACGATGACATTCGCCCTCATCGTTGGTCTTCTAATTCTTATGATAACTTTAATTTATAGTTAGCATTCTAATAAATATAAAGCATTAAAATGATGGATGATGATAATGATAATGATTAGTATATGATAATACTAATAGCTACAACAACAAAAAAAAATATATACATACATACAATATGTCATTTCGGTAACTCATTCTTCTTCTTCCCTACCTAACACGAAGGCTGTCCCTTTCTAATAAGTCTGCAACATGTCTCTGTTCACGACTGTGATTACATACCCTATCATAATTCGAATTAGTATAAGATAGATTATGAATTAAAGTCAAATGGAGTCAATAATCGGATGGTTTCAGATCGAACTGGAAATAGTTTGATTTTAAATTAGCTAAAAGAAAAATCAAATAGTCAAATAAAAAGTGTTTGTTGGAGTGGTAATTTTTTTAAAAAAATAAAAAAATAAAAAATAGCATCGAAAACGAAATTGAAACAGTCTGATTTAATTTTAATTTTAAATAACGATAAATCAAAAAAATCAATCCATCAATTCCGAAATCTGGGTGGACTAATTACGAGTCCAAAAGGACAGCTCCTCTAGAAAGGCGTGCAATGAAAAGATTGACATGGATAAGAGATTGGATTTTGGTGATTTTTTTAATAGGAAGAACACATATATATATATATATATATATATATATATATATATATATATATATATATATAAATCATTTAAATTAACATTATCTGATGGAATCAACTCACAAGAGCCTAAACAGCGCAGCCCTTTGGCTCCTTCTGCTGCTGCGATTGCCCCCACACACTCACATGGAAGTGTAGTCCACAAGCAAAAACATGGCTCCTTGTGCTGCTATCGCCCCCATACAACTCATATGGAAGTGTAGTCCACAAGGAACGACATGGCTCCTCCAACCCACCATAAAAGCCATTGTTGTTGCCGCCACTCCCTTCTCACTCTTCCTTTCCCCTAGGGAACGGCTGGGGCATGACCACAGCAACTGCACGCCTCTCAGTGTAGTCCTCTCATGGCGGCCAACTCCCCCTCCTCTTCCTCCTTCAGCTCACTTCTGCTGCTGGTCCTCCTGGCCTTGAGCTTCGTGATCCGCCCTGCCAGCTCCGACACCGCGAGCGACCTCCAGGAGTGCGGCAGCCAGTTGATCGGGTTGCAGACGTGCATCCCCTACGTGGAGGGGACGGCGCAGGCGCCCACGCCGGACTGCTGCACCGGCCTGAAGGACGTCGTCGCGAAGAGCCCCAAGTGCCTCTGCATCCTGGTGAAGGACCATGATGACCCCCAGCTGCCCATCAAGATCAATCTAACCCGCGCTCTCGCCCTGCCCAAGGCATGCAACACCCCCGTCAACATCTCCGCTTGCCCGAGTAAGCAGCAAATTAGCTTGCCCAGGAGATACTAGTTCATCATCGATCTAGGTTGATGTTCTACCCCTTTTCTTGTCTTTCTTTTGATGTAGAGCTGCTGAACCTGCCACCGAACTCGAAGGAAGCCGAGATCTTCAAGCAGGCAGGGAGCGCAGCTCAAGGTGAGTGACTGTGGTAGATTGTAGTTCCCTTCACCTCTACTGTAGAGACAAGTCACTCACTCATGGAGAAATGGAAACCATAGGCAGAGAAATGACAAACAATTTTGGATACTGGGGATTACTGTGGCCTTTTTGCAGAAGCAGGTCTTCTGTGACCTGTTGGCTGCGCAGCCACTGACATGCCTTGTGCCCGGGAAGCATTATTCCTGTTGATTTCTACCATGAATTTTCCTTAGGATTACATAACCAATAATGTTCTTGTGATTCTTTATTATTCTCAATTTATTGTGTATAACAGCCAAAAATGGTCTGAACCAAAGTTGGGACAATATGTCTTTCACACAAAGATCATTATTTCCCCCTTCCCATATTATAGTTAGTTTGATGGGTTATTGATTCCATCTTTTCACATATATATATCTATACTTTTGTTTATGTGTTCCTCTCTCTTCTTTTCTAAAGACTAATAGGTAGATCAATATAGTGCTCTGTTCTGTCTGTGAACTTTATCTCTTGCTTTCTTCCCTTCAGATTACTAATTTATTTTAAGGTGACAGTAGTGGGAAGAGAGGCTGTTTGGGATGGAAAGGGTGGGTGGGAAGGGAACCTGTGGCAGGTTGTGTTGTTCTTTTCTCTGTCATGCTCCTTCTAGTCTCCACTTGACCAAACTCACCAAAAGCTGAACAAGATCACTCCAAGATACTGTGTGCCCCAAGTTAGTGCTCCTTGTGCCTTCATCTCTCTCTCTCTCTCTCTCTCTTTCTCTCTCTCTCTCTCTCTCTCTCTCTCTCTGAAACAAGTTCTTGGTAGTTGTCATTAATTAATATAAGGAATTGGAAGCTCTTGTTTGGTCATATTTTGTGCTTCCTAGACATGTGCCATGGAATTTTAATACATGTACCACAAAAGAGGGATCATTTATTGTGTTACTTTGTGCACTCGATGTGGATTTACTGAGAAGAAGATGAAACCAATCAAGTAAAAAGGTTACTTGATCATACTAGAATCTTAACCAGAGAAAATATGTTTGCATTAGGGAGTCAGTATGACCAGCTAGCTAATGAGATGGAATGATTCAACTCTGAAAATTATGTGAGGGTGATATCATTCAACCCCACTGGTCTTTACTTGGCCACGGAGTAAAAGGAATGCTTACTCTCATTATTATTATTATTATTTATACGCTTAAGTCGATAATTGAGACATGTTCAATGATTTTATATTCCTAACAATTCCCCTCTTGTGGACTGCAGATTGATCCAAATCTAATATGTAAATCTGGAATTGATAGAAGATATATATTTTTATTATATGGCTTGAATAAGATTTGAGTATAGCATCATTTGCTTTAATTTTTTTTGTCAATGTTATTACATTTAAAAGCTTTTGGGTAAGACATGATCTATGACTTTTTATCTTCTTAACACAATTTTAGTACACCTGAAGCATTCTACTCTTTTATAGACTCTGTTGTTTCTGCGACTCTCTTCTCCTTAATTTGCTGATTTCTTTTGTGGTGACAACAAAAGCCAACGCCACCGCCACCACGTCTCCTCCCTCCACGCCTGCGAGCGACGGTGGCAGCAGCAGCAATCACTCAAGGTGGAGAGGGTGGGTGGCAATGGAAACTGTGGTGGGCTGTGTTCTTTATACTGTGATGCACCTTCTTCTGGTCTCCACTTGACCAAAAAACAGAACAAGAGCACTCCAACAACATCCAGTACTTGCTGCTGCTTCCTCTAGTTCGTGCGCCTCCCTTTCTTGCCGTCTCCATCATTTGCTTCCTCAAAACCATGTTCTTGTGAGTGTGGTTGATGGTAGAACTGAAGGCCTCAGTGGTCATAAGTTAGTCTTCCATGACATGTACCTCAGACTTTGAGCATATCTGTACCTTTGAAAATAATCATTTATTGTGTGGAGTTAACGTTAACAAGATGGTACATCTCATCACCACAGTTAAACATAGGATTACAGAGTCATAAAGCTCTTGTCGAAGGATCAAAGGTGTGAAATCCCATTTGACTTCCACTATTCCGATATGAACAGTCTGTGCCCTTCATGTTGGATGACAAGAGAACATTATGATCCATTAGTTTCACCCTTCTCATACAAAAACCAGGCTTTTTAACTCATCAAAGCCTGATGGTTTTGGTTATTAATCGACATCGAAAACAAAGTAAAAAAGGCAAAAGATTAGTGCAGCAGAATCAAATTTAGAGCGTATAGATATAAGTTCATCAACATGTAATCTTATTAGGTCTTTCCTGTTCTTCGCCAACCTCATGCAAAACTTGGTGCCATGGTCGCAAATGCTTCAGTCTAGCTTAAAAAGAACTCTCTACTTTGCTGGGAAGAGTCACCTTAATTCTCGTTCATTTACATGTTTTCGGTCCAATTAGCAACATGATGTGCAAGTGGAAGTTCATACTGCATACATGAACGAAATCAGTGTGCATTTGTATACAGGAAAATAAGGAAGCATAAAACATACAGAGGATATAGAAAGTTTTGCGTATCTACTACGCTGCTGTGATCACAGCACCCTTGTTTGTTTGATCTGCCATTTCGTTCAAATTTGAATCAATGCCTTAATCGAGCAGCAAAAGAAAGAAGAAAGCAGAGAGTTTAATCATGGACATGTTCCGTGACTCGATACTTACTTGGAGATCTGTAAACGTAGAAGCATGCAGCGATTGCAATGTAGCAGAGCAGGGGCACGAGCCCCTTCAAGTAATGTGCAGTGCCATCCTGCAGAAACTCTCAGCACCATTCAGTTTCGGTGATCGAATCATTCCTTTACAACAATGGAATTAATTTATTTTCTGCTACTAATCTTTGATTGTACCTGTAAAGTGAAGGCTATTACTAGGATTGCCATGATCAATGAGCCAGTTTCCAACAGTTTAAGATCAAGATCCATCTCGATTCCCATTATCCAGGCCACAAGAACACTCAATGGAACCTAAATCATGTCAGAGAATTATGCTCATGCTGTGGGTGCGAAGGTTTACTTGCACTTCGAGGCTACTTCCAAGATCTTACCACAAACATGGAGATCTGTGTTGCCGAACCAAGGGAGACACCAAGAGTTATATCCTGTGACATCTCGACAGTAATGCACATCAGCTCCATGCAATCAGTGAAACCATGCAGAGGTAAATTGAGGAGCATTTACCAGCTTGTTCTTGAAAGCAAAAATGATGGCACCCGCATGCTCTGCTGCGTTGCCAACTATTGGGAGCAAGATGATGCTGATGAAGCTCACGGAGATTCCCCAAGAATCTGAAGCAGCCTGAAGAACGACGCACAGGATGATAGAACGTAACAGTGCTGGAGATGGATGTTGGATAGAAAGTAACAGCGGATCAGAAAGTACCTCAATGGTGCCGACAACGTACTCAGATAATGCTGCAATCACGGTCGTCATCCCCACCAGCCAAGCCACCGCGCAAGGGAATCCAATGACGGGCTCGTCTTCGGATACCCCATCGTCGTGGTCCTCGTCTCCCTGCTCTCTTCATCCGAAGAGGTCATCGAGTGGGACAGAGAGGAGAAAATAATGCAGAGTGCTTGATGTCTCACCTCCTTCGATTCGAACAGTTGGCGGTGGGTCTTTAGCTGGAAGAAGAGGTAAGCAACGTAGGCAAGGAGCATCACGACGCTGCACGCTCTCGACAATGCCAATCTTCGAACGGTGTCCACCGCCGCGTGCTCTCCGGAGTTCATGGCGTACCCGAACATTAGCAGCAGGATGTGGCACAGCGCGCCCAGAAGGAGCAGACCGGTGTTCACGTCGGCTTGTTTCTGCAAAGTGCCAAATCGTAGAACGACAGTGTTCATCTAATCTAAGTTGTTTCCGTGCAGGGAAAAGTGGATGGGTGCTTACTCGATCATAGAATTGCTCTTTGTGGAGGTTGGCCAGGCCGCCAAAGAAGAGGGAGGTCCCAAGAACAAGCAATAGGTTGGAGAGGACAGATCCAACCAGGGAACACTTCACCACCTCAATCTTCCCCTCCCGCAGCGCAAACAGAGCTATGATCAGCTCGGTGGCGTTTCCGCATGTTGCATTCAGGAGGCCACCAACTGCAGCAACAGCAAGAATTTGCAGTCACTGCTAGGCAAGAACAGAGGAACAAGAACGAGAGCGGCTATCTTCTTACCAGTTGGCCCGGTGTAGTATGCGATTTGTCTGCGAGGCCAAAGCCAAAGAAGCAAGAAAGGCAAATGTCATTTGGAGATCACAAGTTACAGAGGTTGAAGATGATAGATAAGCTTACTCTGTCAGGAAGCTGACACGCTCAGCGAGAGGAGCGAGGCCCAGCAAACTCAACGCGAACAGCCACGCCTGTTCTCGAGAATGACATGAGCTGTGTGAGCAGAAGCGATCGGTAATCTATGAGAAGGAAGAGGAGAATTACGCGTCCGAAGTTGAAGTAGCTGGCGGCGACGGCGAGGGGGACGGCGGGGAAGAGGACGAAGAGCTTGGTGCCGAGGAAGATCTCCTGCAGGTTGGCGAGGAGCGCCCTGAGGAAGCGGCAGCGGACCTTCGACACCAGCGACAGGTCCGACTTCTTGCGCAGCGACGACGAGGACATGTTGTGGGCGGTGCGGCCGTGGGTGTGGCCGTGGCCCTGCTGCGCCTCTTTGCTCATCCTACCGCCTTTGTGCTCGCCTCCCTCGAGCCTCCTCGCCGCCTCGTAGCCCGTCGACGCCATGGCTCTACACCCAACAGTACTCCGTATCTCGATCCAATGCAGCCCAGAAATTGCTGCCGAAACTTGGATGCTCTTTATACGCGCACACAGTGACTACAGAGCACACAGAAATCATTGAAAGGCGTAGTAATAATTCTGTAATGGACCAAAAATGTCAGGTTCCAGGAAGCTTCGCAGGGTGTCGTTTTAGGTATCCACCAAGCGACTACTACTAGCGATTTATGGATATGGAGAGAGAGAGAGAGAGAGAGAGAGAGAGAGAGAGAGCGTCGGTTACTCATTTGGTATCTATTTCTTGTCGAAGTTTTGTATATGATACCTCTTCTTCCATCAGAAATAAAAGTTGTGTTTTACATATGTATGGCGTTTGATTGAGGAGCAACAGCCATAGATTTATCATTGGAGTTCATGACAAGAATTTGAAAATGAAGGTACAAAAAATATAGATAATAGAGAGAGAAAAAAGATATCACCATCACTAGTTATTATTCATATAAATTGGTAGGTGACTTGTAAATTGCTTGCATGACTTGCATAGCTACTTAGTTGGTGTCTGATGATATTTTCATCAGATACAAAAAGAAATATATGGTATCTCTCGAATCTAAAAAACATGTATTTCACATTGTCAATAATATGAAAGAACACCCTTTTAGCTCTTACCGCAGTTTCTCCATCACGATTTTACAAGGCTAAAACTAGCTCCTTTTTTGGAACATCTTGATGACCTCAAGAACAAGCAATTGAAGCCTGCATTGCCCTTTCTCGTTTGCTTCCAATAGCTAAATTCCATGTCTGTAAAATTTCTGACGACTCGCAGGAGCTTTGCTGCAGATTTGCTCGGTCAAGATGTCAAGTTCCTTTAGTCATCAGCTAAAACTACAAGGACTGATCGAGAGCTCTCAAGCTTGCAGCACCTGACAGTGAACAATTCGACCCTTGAAGTTGCTACGACCTGCAATAGATGACCATAAGCTTGTTACGATGTTCTTGAGTTTGCCTTTCCCGACAACAGACTCCCACGCACGGGCACTATTTGTCTCTACGCTATTTCCTGGATCTGTGACATCAACAAGACTAATGCTCATGTTGTTTCGGATGATGCCGAGCTTCCCATTAAGAGAAACAAATGATGCAGCCTCAAAGACCTGAGAATTTCCAAGATGATGTTTGCTGTCCATGAACTTGTTCCATGAATCTGTAGTTCTTTCAAATACCCTAAGCTTACAGCCATCCCTGCAATCTGAAGCATATAGCCTTCCATTCAATAAAATGCTGGGAATATGCCATCCTGTAATTATTCGACTATTCGCTGTGGACCATGTGTTGGCAGTGGGTATGTAGACTTGGCTCACAAGCTGACACTGAGAATTGAGCCCTTTCAGAAACCATTTACCATCGTAAACAACCCCAAAGAAAGGCACCATCCCGGTGTTCATTTCAGCGATGGATGTCCATCTATTCCTGCTAGGATCATAAACTTCAGCTGAATGAAGAGTTCTTTGGCCACCTTCACATTTCCCACCAGCAACGTAAAGGCAATTATTTATAACACATGAGCCAAAGAAATGGCGCTTCCGAATCATATCTGGAGCTCTGTGCCATTTGTTTGTCCGAGCATTGTAGAAGACAACATGCCTCATCGAACCATTTGATGGATCTTTACCTCCAAATAAGTAGAGGTAACAACCACTAAGAACAGCACAACCAAAGCCAACTGCTTCAGAATAATCTGTGGGAACAGGTGGAAGTGGCCTCCAGAGCTGATGGATTGGATCAAATGCATGCCAGGATATCCTTCTACTACGGTCTCTTTTGATGACATACACCCATTCCTCTGCCATTCCAAGTTTTTTTCTGAGGGAATAGAAGTAATTTCCAGACAGAAGCCGGTTCCATCTCTTGCATACAAATCGAAGGTTTTGGTGATCAACTCGGGGAACCCGAACCAGACAAGCAATAGCAAGATCATCAGGAAGGCCAGGCACTAGAGGTTCCTGGTTTCTGCTCCTCTCCCTGCGTGAGTTTCTTGATCTTGGTCCATTTGGCATAATTTCAGGTTGAAGACATAACTTCGCTCCAGGAACAAATTTTCTGGCCCCTATAATTGTTTTCAGGCCAGAATCTACTTTACAATAGCATGACACAGAATCAACCTGCAATTTGCATGACATTGACACAATTAATGGATCACATCTTGGTAGTGCACAAATACTAAAACACAAAAATGATTCTAAGCGCTTCTTGATCTTCCCACTAGATGCACTGGGATAAAAGTATGAAAACATGTAAATGACATCCACCATAGAATGTCAATAAATTCATTCTTTAAGATGGGTAGAGAACCATAGGTGATGAATTTAAATGATTAAGTTAGTAGTTGCATGATAAATGGCCACATCCATCATATGAGGAGACTAACTTGATTAACTAAAATCTTAATCTAGTTTCAGTAAGTAAATAGGAAAGTTAAGCACATGCTTAATTTCGAAGCACCTCTTGTTCTCAGGATAATATAATGTTTGACAAAATTAATTAAGAAGTAGAACTCAATTTTTTTAAGGTGGTTTATTACTTTTACAAACAATTACAATTTTATTTTCAGGATCAGTAAAGGTATCAAATGCATTTGCATTGAACCGTGATGCATATTAGTTGTTACTTACTCTCCTATAAAGTCACCGAATGAGCTGGTCCAAATATAACTGCTCATATTAGGAAAAGAGGGTTTAGTAGTATAAGACAAATTACAAAACACTATATAATAGTTCAAGTCTCAATCAGTGAGAGCTTGCTACAGAGTTCAATGATGGTCTACATGATCAAGGTTTGCAGAATTTGAATCAAATCAGGGATAAGTAATAGAATTTAAGACCAGAGTTAGCCTGGATCAATTCAACTTGACCAAATTGAATCATGGGATCAGCTTTTTCTTAATGAACAATAATCGGCAGAGGTTGACAGGACCAATTAGAAACCTGTTGTGATTGAATGGCCAGACAATTGGGGTGAATCTAGAATTGTTTGCACTCAGTCGGATCAGTCAAAGCAGCCAAATATTTGTTGAATCTTGTATTTTGATGATGAAACCAATTGATAATTGTGTTTATGTTTTAATTTGCGTTTTGAGTGACGCAGGATGCTTCGATCAGGATGAGACAATTAAAGCAGGAAAAATCACGTTGGGCCGGAGAAACATGTTAGAAGATTGGACGTCGGGCCAGTGGATCGATCGACGTGTCGACAGAAGGCTTCGAGCCGTGGATTCGGGCATCGGGCCAAGAAGAGCAAACATTGCGCCAAGGATATCGGAGTTGCGGAGTCAACTGACCGATTGGGCAATAGGCCATAGGAGAGGACGATGCGCCGAAGAATCGGACGAAGCGTCGAGGGACCAATGACATGCCGGACAACTTGATTAATGCTTAGTATTAATTGTCTAGATCGAAGTTTGTTTTACATGTGCAGGATTAACTACAATGGAAGTAAGACATGCAGCAGGAGTTGCGCCAGAGTTAAGACCATGATCACGTTGGGGGTTCGAGAGTTCGACGGAAGTCCGGACGGTCGTCGGAGGTTCTACGGGAACAAATCCGAGAAGTCCAAGAGCTTGCCAAAGAAGCTCGTCGGAACTCGTCAAGTGGATCGTCGCAAGTCCAGGAGTTTGCCGGAAGTCCACAGGAGCATCCCCGAAGGTTCGTCCGATGTTCATCTGAAGTTCGCTGGAAGCTCGACGGAAGAAACGATTGATGCACCGGAGCAAGTTGCAGTAAATGTCTTAAGAAATATCGTAGTTAGCATGTAAATTAAGTTAGGAATGGGAGGTGATCCCATTAACTTAATCTGGGGGCAATTGGGCCCTTGACAGATCCAAATTGAGCCGAATGGATCAGCCCATTCGGACCCATATTTCCTGGCCGGCGGTGGCACTGCCTGGGTCGGCGGTGGCACCGCCCAGGAGCTCAGGAAAGCTGGGCGGTGCAACCGCCCAAGTCAGACGGTGGTACCGCCTGGGCTCAGTCTCCGAGCGAGACTGGGCGGTGGTACCGTCCTTGTCAGGCGGTGGTACCGCCTGAGCTTGGTCTTCGAGAGGTAGTACCGCCCAGTTATGACGGTAGCACCGCCAGGACCCCGGAAATCCGGGAGATGACATATTTGAGCTCCAAATTCAAACCAGTTTGGGGCCTATATAAACCCCACCTTTTCCTGCATGAAAGGGCACCGAAAGCTTGATCTTACTCTGTGATTTTAGAGCTCAAGAGTGTTGTAAAGGCTAAAAGTTCTCCTCCCTCTTTTCTTCCAAGTCTTGATCATTCAAAAGAGGAGTGAAAATTCTGTAAGGGTTGTCTCCTAAGCCCGTCAAAAGGAGTGAAATTGTAAAAGGGTGGTTGGCCTTCGCCTATTGAAGGAAGGCCTCTAGTAGACGCCGGTGACCTCGTCGAAGGAGAAAGCCAAAAATGGATGTAGGTCAAGATTGACCGAACCACTCTAAAATTGCGGTGCTCTTTGGTTTGCATTTCTTCTTGCTGCTTACCTTACTGCAAGCCTCTATATGTGCTTTACTTCCTTATTACTTTTGCTGCACTCCTTTACGAACTCGCTTTTAAGTTAAGTTTCCGAAAACGGTTTTACGTCGGAAACGATTTCATCATACGAACGCAGTTTTAATCGTCGAAAGTTTTTCGCTGCACTAATTCACCCCCCCCTCCCCCTCTTAGTGCTCTTAATCCTAACAATATTGACACACCCAACCAACCCCCAAAAGATATGGGGTGTTATGATTGGATTGGATTAATTGGGCAATGCTATCATGTGGATCATGCTTATGATCAAGGATTAATTGTTCTAGCCATGCTGACAGCACAATGGTATTGACATACAGGACTACCATGATAATGCAGCTCAATTACCTCTGGTTCCTTTACTTTTGTTTTATATTTTATCCCATGTTCAGACCATTTCAATTCAAATCCAGAACTGACTGAGCCAACAATTATTATCCTTTTTTTTTTTCTAGTTTCTCAGTGGCAGCTAATGCATGCTAAACAAGTCCAACAGCAACACCTACCACCAGCCAGATCACACCAGTCCTTCATCAAAGACAACAATTGCTGGTAGATCAGGCAGACACACATAACTCAAGCATTAAAAGCCATCAAATCCTGATCGGACCGTCAAAACACATCTAGGCCCCACCAAAACATAACCCTTCTATCTTGTTTTCTTATCTTTTTCGGTATTCTTCTGTTTCTTTACTTCTTCATGATTTTCTTACAGACTTTTTTAAGCCGCAATAAGCCAACTAATGTTTTCATAGGCAGTCACTTAAGCAATGGTCTGAATTCTTGCTAGCCTTTAAAGCATCTCAATAACTCTTTGCCTAGCTGTCAATGGTATGACTAATTCTTATGTGTTTTAAGAATCATCCTAAGACAATTGGGCAACACAGAGCTGCCAATTTCTCCATGATGTTATGTATGTTCATGCATGTGCAGATGCATCCATGACATGGCCTCACCATGGGGCTGGCCCAGGACGAGGGTCTTTCACCCATTAAAAGGGGCTGCTTCGGCCATCTGCAACATCTGGTCCAGCTGGCCACTTTAAGCAAGGGCTGAAGTGGCCCCTTGATGAGTCCGTCACAAACTACACAGACCTTGGACAAGAGGTATCAACTCCAATTTTGATTAGTACAGCACGAAGTCTAATTTGGATAGCTAAGATAGAAATTTCCAGTCCTTGGAATCAACTTTTACTCGAGACAAAGCAAGGGTAAAGTTAACGAGTCTTTAAATGGTCTTCTAAATTCTCAATATGGTATAGTGTAGGTTACGAAAATTACTTTAATGTTAAAATTTATTATTCTTATAGTAGAAAGTTTTGGGGGTTGACAAGATTAAATTTCCAAATAGCATAAACTGAAGATTAGAAGCTACGAATTATCACCAACGGGAAAAGGCTAAGCCAATTACTATGGAAATGCTATAAGTCGATCTCGAGCTCAGACTCAACACCGTCACTATTACCACCAGAAATCTGAACGATATAGCTCAGCTCAGAAAAACACAAGGAAAAGAAAAGACTTTGGCAATTAAGTCATCTAATAACCACAACTAGCAGCTAAGAACATCGACCACGATGACATTCTCAATCATGTAGAATCCTCAAACAGCAACAACAAATCGTGAGGGGGAAAAAGGAGGAGGGGCTAAACATACCGGGGGGGCCTGCACGCGAACGACGCCGCGCGAGTTGGCCAAGCTTTCCGGCGCGGCCCTCTCCATCCTCCGACCGAAACCCCCACCCACCACACCGAACGACCGGTCGCGAGGACCGAAAGACGAAGGGGGAGGGCAGGTGAACGAACAGGTCAAGAGAAAGCCCCGCTGTCACAACAAGAAACGACGTCGAAGAGTTTGGCATCACCGACTCGAGGGAGGGAGAGGAAGCGGGGGAGTGTCGGCTCGTCGTTTCCTTCGCTTCGCTCTCGGACTCGTTGGTTTGGTGTATCGTCTAATTTATCCCATTAATAAAGATTTGATAGGTTATAATGATTCAAACCTATTTCTCGAAGGCGGGCGGGCGGAGGGGGCAGTTGGCTCGTCCCTTAATAGCTAACTCCATTAAATGTCATCTGAAATCACAAGATGACATTTTTGTCATAGTTTTATGTTCTGACTCATTCTATGGGGAAAATTAGGTGCAAAGATAGTGGTTAATAAAAATGAGTATTTTACTAAGCATAAACTTAATTGTTAGAGAGGGTCCCTTTTATTAATAAACCATAAAAAAACACTCATGAATCAAATTCAATTGAAATCGGAGAATTTTTTGATATATTTTATGATTGAGTATAATTTAGTTTAATTTTTAATATAATTGAATTAATTTTTACTAAATCAATCTAGAATAACTATAATATGATTTTGAGATTATTAATATTATTTTTATTTGTAAAAAAATTATGATAATTAATTATCTAAATTTAGAATTTTTTGAATCGATATTGTGATCGAGTTTAATTTTATCAACTTCTATTAAACCAATTCAAATTTTGATAGAACCACTAAGACATAGTTCTCATCAAAATATTTTTTTTAAAAATATATTATACGATTGAGTTTAATTTTATCAACTTCTATTAAACAAATTCAAATTTCCACAAAACCATTAAGACATAGTTCTCATATGATTAGTATTTTTTTTTATTTTTTAAAGTTTTTATGAAAATTATTTATAAAAATACATATTTTTTAATATATTATGTGATCAAGTATAACCTATTTCAATTTGGAGTATAGCTTGCTCAACGTCAACTAAACAAACTTAAATTTTCACCAAACTATCTATTTATGATTATAAGATGATTAGTATTATTATTTATTTTTTTATAAAAAAATATAATAGTTAATTATTAAAATTAATTTTTTAATACATTCAGTGATCAAGTGTAACTCACTTTATTTTTTAGTGTAATTTAGTCAACTTCAACTAAGCTAATCCAAACTATGATATGATTTTAAGACAATTAATATTCTTTTTTAAAATTTATGATGATTAATTATCAAAATTAGAATTTTTTTAAATAACATATATGATCAAATCATTTAAGTAAATGTTGGAGAATATTATTGTTCGAAGTGGAAAAAAGAAAGCTAGTAATAGCATGAATATAATATAATAATTTATTATACATGAATGATAAGAATTATTGAATGTTCCTATTGACATAAATTCAACTGGTATTGAACCTACAAATTTATCAATTATAAGTTGAATGCTTAATAGAATAATTAAATTCTGATTAAAATATTTTTTAAATAAAAATATATCAATTAGTCTTACGTGTGAGATTAAGATTGATTTATAACAATCTGAATATACTATTATTAATTTTAGTTTAAATATTTTGATAAATGATTTAGATCAAACGAAGTTGAGATATTAGTTGGCCCGTTAGGCCCGTGTCACGATAAATTTAATATTAAATATTTTTTAATAAAGTAGCCCACACTAATCGGCCATTTCCTTCTACATGTCCTTATGGGTAATCTTATCTAAGTCGAACAAATCAAATTGACATACCAATAAGATATTTATTTGAGGAAGATGTAATATTGGTGCGACCCAATTGGTGGACACGTTTCCCTGGTGGAACGCGAGGCGCGTTCGACCACGCATTTGTCTTCACCCGAAATAACCCCGACCGCGTCAAACGCGCTGCAGCTTCTCCAACCGTCGTCTTCCTCGCCATCTTATAAGCCCTCCCTTCTTGCAACCACAGCAGCAGCGGCCCTTGAAGCTACAACTCCATCACGCCAACCCGGAGCTCGGCTTCACCGTAGATACCACCACCATGGCGGGCGCCAAGATGGCAGTGGTCACCTTCCTCCTCGTCTCCGTGCTCGTGGCGTCCGCCGTGCCGGCCGCGACCGCCTTCGGCTGCTTCCCCGACTGCTACAACCGCTGCGCCAACGGCGATATCGGCAACGTGGCCTGCTCCACCATGTGCTCCCAGGCATGCATCGTTCCCAAGACGCTTCCCGACGGCACCGACCTGGCCACGCTGTACCCCGGCGGCCACTGATCGCACTCCTCCTCTGTTGCATGCATGTGTGCGTTCGGGCCAACGTGGTTTCGCCATTTTGTTAGCTGCCGTGTGTTGATTTGGAGACGAGGAGATTAATTGCGTACGTGTGTATTCGTCTGTGGGAAGCAAACTTTGTTCCACTACATCTAAATGTCTGCTGCTACATCAGTCATAATATGATGCAAACAAAACAAAAATAATAATTATATCGATTAAGCATAATGATTTTATCGAATTGGCTTATTTCTCGATAATTGTTGCGTGAGTGACAATTAGTAATCACTGCATTCCTCGAGTAATAGTACAGTGTAATTAATATACATCATGTGTGTATGTGGGACGAGCTAAGCGCAGTACAGAACAGAATACCGCTTCATCCTATGGCCGCGCCAGCTTAACAGCTCCATCAGCGCCATTAGTCTTGTCGTCATCATCAGCTATGAACCGCTTCCAGAACCAGTGCTGCTTCCACACCTTCTCCGCCATCTCCTCGATGGGCACGTTCTTGGTCTCGGGGAGGAAGAAGAGGACGAACACCGACATCACCACCACCCACGCGGAGAAGAAGGCGAAGATGCCGTACTTGAGGTGGCACAGCATGGAGAGGAAGGCCTGCGCGATGACGAAGGTGAAGAGAAGGTTGACGCACACCGTCACGCTTTGCCCGGCCGACCGTGTTTCCAGCGGGAACGTCTCGCTGGGGATGAGCCACCCCAGCGGCCCCCACGACCAGGCGAACGACGACACGAAGGTGCACACCATCAACACCACGAAGATGGCGTAGCCGCGGCCCAGGTTGTCGGAGTGGTCCGACACCTTAAGCCCCAGCACCACCGCGATCACCACCTGGGAGAGGAACATCTGTACCCCCGCCTCCAGGAGCAGCACCCGCCGCCCCACCCTGTCCACCGAGTAGATGGACACCACCGTCGACAGCACGTTCACGGCGCCCGTGATGACGGCGGAGTAGAGCGCGGCGTCGCTCTTGAATCCCAACGTGTTGAAGAGCACCGGAGCGTAGAACATGATGGCGTTGATTCCAGTGAACTGTTGAAAGATCTGTCGACACAAAGAGCCCGAAGACGGTCACCAAATAGTTCGCCTCCCCACAAGAAGACCAACACCAGATGTAGCTAATAGCAGCATCAATATACCTGGAGGAAGATGGCGATGATGAGCTGAGGGCGGTTGCGGCGCTGGAGGAGGTTGCGGAAGGGGTGCTTCACTTGGTGGGCGATGCGGCTCGCCTCGAGGATCTCATTGTACTCGGGCTCCACGTTCTCCGTCCCGCGAATCTTCTTGAGCACCGCTTTGCCTTCTTCGAGCCGCCCGCGCTCGATCAAGCTGTTGGGCGTGTCCACCACCAGCAACGCTCCCACCGTCAACAGCAGCGCCGGGATGCCCGCCAGCGAAAGGGACAGTCTCCATCCCCACGGGTGAATCCTGCAGGGTGTGTGTACATTGTTATCACTCTACGACCAATCACAGAGAGAGAGAGAGAGAGGGAGAGAGAGAGAGAGAGAGAGAGAGAGCTGTACTTGTTGGTTCCATAGTTGACGAGGCTGGCAAAGAGGATGCCGATGGTGACATTGAGCTGAAACAGGATGTTGAGGCCGCCACGGATTCGGGTGGGTGCAATCTCTGACAGAAACAAAGGAACGGCCTGCACCGATACACACAAAAGTAAAAAAGGCTGCTATATTGATATGTGAGGGTATATTGAAAAATAAAATTAAAGAAATAATCTCAAATTAGCAAATATTATATTGAGTTCGGCTTACAAACAAAGAAATTAAAATTTTAGATTAAATTGATGTTCAACTTGATATATGTTAACTCGAGCTAAGATGAACTTTCGCAACCAAAGTTAAAGCTTACGAATTAAAAGAATAGTTTTATATTAGTAAATATATATAAAAAAATTGAATAATATATATTAAGTCTAACTCAAGCTTAAAATTTTCAGTTGAATTAGTATTTAACCTTACCATTATAGCATTATACTCAATTAATACGGTTGGAAACCAAACCATAACCATGATTGTTTGATTTAATAGTCTGCAATCTTCTCTACCTCATCAAGAGACTCAATCAAGAGAGACAGATGGATTTCAGTAACCTAAAAGTTTGATCTGCTGGATTGGATCGATATTCTTAGATTCTTTGTTAGGTTCTGAGTTAGATCCTGGATGGATCTGACTTCTTGACACCAATCTAAACTCTATGAAGTGGGAAGTAGGTAGATATGGCTCAATAGTTGGCTGCAGTTGGGGTCAAGTCACTGTGGATGACCTGTGAAGGAAGAATAAGGTGGACTTACTGATCATGTGACCTGTGATGTTTGGGTAGGAGACTTTTGGCTCCTCTCCTACCCAATCATGCAAAGGACAACCAGAAAAATATGCTCTGCATTTAATTGATGAATTGTTCATCCTGACTGATATATAGCCTATCATGAATGCAGACTTCAGATGTGGCCTTCAATAAACTTAGCAAAATAATTGCAGTGGTGAGGATGAGAGGCAATCTATTCTTGTGGTGGTCTTTCATGAACTGCAATCTCGGATAGAGACATCCAAAGCATCCAAACACTTTATGACCTGACTTTTGGCTAAAAATACAAAAAAGGATGACCTTCAATTGAAGTCATGTGTGCCAAAAGCTTCCAAACTAACCAATAGGCAACTTAGCAGAAGTTGTGGGTTTTCTTCCCCATGCTTCCTTCCCCTTTCCTCCATTTCTCAAACTCCCATCTGTGGACTGTCCCACTTTGTCTGTGAAACCTCTACATGGAACACGACCTTTGCATGCAGAAATATATGGCCTTCCTAATCGGGTTATTCCGCAGTGCACATGTTTGCCATGGAAGCTAACGAAGGCCACCTTAACCATGGAGCCATGAAGAAGGAGAAGTGCAGCGTTACGAGGAGGACTGACCTGGTTGGCGAACCCTACACCGCAACCGAGGAGTATCCTACCGACGATCAACATGGGAAGGTCCTGCGCAGCTCCGTTGAGGATGACACCCACGATGAAGAAGACGCCGGCGATGAGCATGGTGAGGCGACGACCGAGGTTGCGGGTGGTGTAGGAGGCGAAGAAGGTGGCGGTGAGGCCCGCCAGGTAGAGCGAGGAGGTAAACAGCTGCAGCCCCTGGTTGTCGTACTTGCAGTAGTTGCTCTCCTTCGTCTCATGCTTCCGGCGGTACACCTCCGGGAAGAACTTGATGAGGAAGTCATCCATCGACGTTACACCCCCTGTTGATTGATTAGCCGAGGTGCAATTAGATCCAAAGAACGTGATTCCCGTGCTGAAGCATGACAAGATGTACTTATCCACATAGAAATCATGTTCTCTTGAACGGCCGACCAAATAACTTTCAGATATGCCAAAATGTGGGAAACCTTTTTCTATGATAATTTTGGCAAACACTTTAATTTGGACATTATATATGTCATCATGCATGTGACGTTCAACTTTTCAGAGGGTAGATTGAAGGTAAGATCGACTGCTTGACTCGTCCTACTTGATGATCTCAGCAGTGACAACTGCTACAAACAAGTCCAGCATCTCACCAGGAAATCGATATCAAATTAACAAGTGCTGATTCCTCTTTTATGGGAGGCAAGATACATTGATTCTCAACTTTAGTTGCCATGCAAAAGGGAGGAGTTCACTTTGGGATAACAAGGAATCATTTCTGAGCTCGTTTTCGTTAAGAAAAAGAAGAAGAAAGAAGAAAGAAAGAAAGAAAAGATTCATGCAGTATAAGTGTGTGCGCAGCATGTAAACTCATCATATGACATGGAGCAACAAGAAGAGAAGCAAGTCCTTACCGGAAATACCAACGTCATATCCAAACATCAAACCACCAGTAGCAGCCATGAAGCAGGAGATGATGACTATGGGCGTGATCTTCGCATCGAACTCGCTGCCGGCCGACGCCGACACCGAGAAACCTGCGGCCGGCATCGTCGATTAGGGTGGAAGGATCACGATCACAACAGGAAGGGATTACTTATCCTACGGATCTCTGCTTGCTGGAGACTGGAAGCATGTGCTGCTCTCCCCGATTTATAGAAGGAGGGACGGTTGTCGATTGATTAATTGGTGCGAAGCTTCGGCTCTTCCGGCGAGGAATTCACCCCCGGGCGTGGCGGATGAGATGTTGCCGCGTGGCGAGATCAGTCGACGGTCAATCGACGACTCTTCATTGGCTCGTGAAGCGCGAGCTGTCTTGTTCTTCTAGCACAAAACATGGAGATGCGTGGGCGCCACAGATATCTCACCCTCTGTGCAATGGAATCTTGACTATGGAGGTGTTGACTAATGATGAGAGATTGCGTGACATAATAACTCAGGCGTCGATGCCTTCACATTTTCTCTCTCTCTCTCTCTCTCTCTCTCTTAATCGGATTAAGCCTCGAGTCATTGTGAAGTCGAAGTTGTGGACTCCAAGTGTCATCAGAAAAGTCAACACTGAGTAGTTAATTTTAGTTTGCCAAGGTTGCTGTTCTTTAATTTAATAAAATCTATTGAGGATTCACCTAATCCACATTGACAAAATAGATCAACAACCAAAAAAAAGAGGATAACTTTGTCTCATAAACGGATGTCATAATTAAGTATCTTTCAATTATTATTAATTAGGTTTCAAATCACATGAACGTCATCATTCATAGCTATAGTAGACCTGAAGTCGACGTGTAGCTGTAGCAGAAACATCATTGACCAGTCAACAACGCATTCATGCGCCCACTGTCTCCAATATTATTTCCTTTAAAAATGAATTAAAATTAAATTAAAAATTAGAAGAAAAAAAATGGACCCTCATTAAAAGAAAGGATAATAACAGCAATAAGACTGTCAAACCCGAACGCCTCACCCCAAACATGGACCGCACGAAGCGGCATTTGTTCGAGCAGATTGGAACCGTGCTCGCCGTCCAACGGGGATGCGACCACGGAAGACGTGGATGCCGCGGAAGTCGCGCGTCGCTGTTCCACGTGCAGGGCGAGGAGGAGGGCGGTGATCCCTCGCTTCTTCGGTACGTACGCGGGGCCTTAGTGGGGATCTTATCTTATTAGCTCCAGATAAAAGTGGTCGGTCATCCGTCGGTCTCTCCGCGGCGGAGCGGAGGAAGAGCAGGTAGGAGTGAGATCACAGCCGCATTAGTGAAGAAGATTAGAGAGAGGAGTCGCAGAGTTAAGAACGAGAAGAAGTCCCCGTCTTGAACGCGACAAGAGAGACGAGGAGGAACTGGCACGTCAAATGTTTGATTAAAGAGTGATTTTTGGAGTTGGCCGACGCTAATATATTACAACCACTTTGGACATGGAGACTTGTAGAGCAAAGATCAAACAGAGGAGAAAACAAAGACGTAGTTTTCTTCCATGAGATCACGACTAAGTTGTTATTTATTTACTCCCACCCATTACCTAATCCTGTTCTGTTCACAATATGTAAGAGAGAGAGAGAGAGAGAGAGAGAGAGAGAGAGAGAGAGAGAG